CCGGGCCGGTCCCGCGCGCGCTGATTGGCCGCGGCGGCGCGGGGGGCGGTGCCTGTGCGCGATGCGCTGGGGCCGGGCGGTGCGGGCCGCGCTGCGAGGCGGGAGCGCGGCGGCGGCGGCGACGCTGCTGCGGGGCCCGGTGCGGAGCATGGTGAGTGCGCGGGGCCGGCGGGGGCTGCTCCCGGGGCTCCCCCGGGGCCGGCGGGGCGGGGGCGCGGACGGGGCTCGCCGTGGGCTCCCCTCTGACCCCTCGCCCCGCAGTGCGCCCAGGCGGAGGACTGGCGCTCGGCCAGGGCCATCTACGACTTCCACGCCCTCGACATCGATGGCAACGACGTGTCCCTGGAGAAGTACCGGTAGGAGGGCAGGGCCGGGGGCGCGGGGCCGGGGCGCTGAGCAGCAGCGGTTCTTGCGTAACCCGGGAGCCGCTGCCGCGCCCGGCGGGCGAGGGGCCTCTCCCCGCTCACCCGCCCCGTCCGCAGGGGCTGCGTCTGCATCATCACCAACGTCGCCTCCAAATGAGGGAAGACCGCGGTAAACTACACTCAGCTTGTTGACCTGCACGCCCGATACGCTGAGAGGGGTTTACGCATCCTGGGCTTTCCCTGCAACCAGTTCGGGAAGCAGGTGCGCGGGAGGGGCCGAGCGCTCCCCGGGAGCCTCAGGACGGCCCGGGAGCCCTCACGGTCCCGGTGTCGCCTCTCAGGAGCCCGGGGACAACGCTCAGATCAAGGCATTTGCTGAGAACTACGGGGTGAAGTTCGACATGTACAGCAAGATCGATGTGAACGGGGACGATGCCCACCCGCTCTGGAAGTGGATGAAGGAGCAGCCCAAAGGGAGGGGCACCCTGGGCAAGTGAGTGTGGCAGGGAGGGCTCGGCTCGGGGCCTGGCTGGGGCTGAGGAACCTGAGGAAAGGTTTTTCTGACCAAAACTCACTCCTTGTTTTTCTCTCCTAGTGCAATAAAATGGAACTTTACCAAGGTAGGACACAGCTGCCTCCTCTGGGCCGTGCTGGGCTCTGGGGAGCTGGGGGGGGGTCCCCGAGGCAGGGAGGGGAGGGGGGAGCCTCACACCCGGGCTCTGCTCTGTGCCGTTACCCTGGATTTTGGGGCAGGAGCATTCCCAGGGGCTCCTGTGCCTGGAGACCCCTGGGAGCCCCTACCCCGCCCCAGGGTGCAGTAATCAGCAGGCACACTCCCTGGGAGCCCAGCTGACCCCTGGACTCGCCCACGGGGTGTTGCTTCACTCCCCCAGTTCCTCATTAACCGGGAGGGCCAAGTGGTGAAGAGGTACAGCCCAATGGAGGATCCCTACGTAAGTGCCGGGGAGCAGCAGCGGTGCCGGGCGGGAGGGGGGGATGGACGGGGATGTTCTGGGGCACAAACGCTCCCTGTTCCCCGCAGGTGATCGAGAAGGACCTCCCTGCCTACCTGTAGCTCCGCTCCGCTGTGCCCCCGCCCGCCCCGGCCCCGCTGCCCCCGGAGCCTCCTCCAGCCCCATGACGGGCTGCCCCCAAGCCAGGTCCTGGTGGGGCAGCCCCGACCCCGGCGTGCACCGCTGGACAGAGGCCCCGGGGCCGCGGCCGCCCCGGGCAGGAGCAGCCGGAGCCCCCTCGCAGTAACTGGAGTCCCCTCGCAATAAAGACCTTAGGAATGAGCCCGTGGTGTCTGGGGGAGGGACGGAGCAGGGATGGGGCCGGGGCTGCTGCTCTGCTCCCGGTGAGAACCTGGAGCTTTGCTGGGAGCCAAGACCTTACGCAACTCCTGAGCTCCTGAGCAGGGATAATCCCCGGGGCTGAGGAGGAAGTGCACACAAATCCTGCGTGAGCCACGATCCTGAGGGGCTCCTTGGGAAAAGGCAGAGCAGGGGAAGGTGAAGGTGTGTGTCCCCTCTGGGATCCCTCCTGTCCCCAAGAGCTCTCCCAGCTGGGCAGGGCAGCAGAGGGGACGGGTCCAGCAGTGGCACAAGCCCCATCCAGGAGCAATTTCTGCACAACAGAACCCAGTCGTGTTGGAACACAGTGAATTAACCTCCCACAGCCAAGACAGGTCTGACGACAGCAAGCAGGACCATCCTCCTCCTCCTTCTGCATGGGGCAGCCATGCAGGGACACTGAGTGCCTCTTCCCCAGGACCTGGGGGGTGCTGGATCTTCCCTTCACATCTGCAGTCCCCACGGGGAGCCCCATCCTCAGCGGGGATGGGAGGGAGTGGGAAGAGCCCCGGGGTCTTCACTGGGGTCCCCCAAGTCTGCTTTCCCCTGTGCCTGCAGTCTGGCACCTCAGGGATGCTGGAGGACCCCACTCCGGGCACAGGGGCTGTTTTTGGGAGCTGCCCCCCAGCCTTGGCCCAGATCACTCCCTGGGGCTCACCCCATCCCACCTCCCGCGGGATAACTGGGCCGGGATAACTGGGCCGGCAGTGCCCGGGCGAGACATCCCGGCACCGCGGAGGAACACGACAGACAGAGGCTCCTTTATCTGTGTTTGCCCAGCAAAGCCGGGCAGGAGCCACCTCATCCAAGGCCAGTACCCCGGCTGGAGCCACCAAGGATCCTCCTCTGCAAGGCCAGTGGCTTCTCCCAGGGAGAGGGGGAGGCTTGGGACAACAGCCCTCAGTGCCACCAAGATGACACGGGAGATACAAAGTCCAGCTGCCAGCAGGACCCTGACCCAGGAATTCCTGATCCAAGTCCCACTGGGATCTTGGGGCAGGTTGGACAGACAGACAGACAGACAGAGCTGGGACTTACAGAAATCTCACATGTGGCTTCGGTTCCATTTTTACTGAGCAGAATGAAAAATTATCCTTCTGAGGCAAGTAGAAAATTCAGGAATGATTAGTCCAAGGCACATATTCTAAAAAAATCTCTTTACATATGTACAACTCCATCAATTATAAATACACATAGAAACCAAAGGCAAACAACAAGCAGATTAAAAAGTGCCAACAAAAAGGTATCAGGGAAGAAAACAGGGACTCATTAAAAATACAATCAGTAGGACAACGGCAGAATAATTTAGTTAAAAGATAATGTTACATATTATTAACCCTGACAAAACACAGGATTGGGGCAGGGAAGGGATTCCTTGAAGGTGCTCTCTGTCTTCCCAGAGACCAGGGAGGGAGGATTGCATATATTTTAAGGTTAAGGTCAAAGCCACCAGGTAAGGCTCCGGTGATGGCGGAGGGTGCCCAGCGGGGAGTTCCCCCTCGTTATTCCTGAGTTTCAGCCTCTCTGAGCTGCGTTTTCCTGGCGTCTTTTTCCCTCCTTGCTGAGAATTCAGCCCCGTGCCAGATGCAGGAGGTGCAGCTGGGGCCTCTCTGCCATGGGGAGGGCTGGGACGTGCTTTAAATAGGGGAGGGTCTGGGGAGGGGCAGCCTGGCTCTGCCCGGCCCCGGGGACGCTGCTGCGGGCGAGAGGAGCAGAGCTGGGGGAGAGCAGGAGCCCCCCGGGGCAGCAGCAGGGCATAGGGGGCTCCCCCCATCTTTGGTGATCACTTTGAGGTAAAGGAGGTTTCCTTGGGTGCAGTGAGATGTGCCCCTGACAGCAGGGACTGACTCCAGCCCAACGGGTGGTGGGAGGCAGCTGCCAGCTGGGGAGGGGGGAAGGACAGGGACCACAGTAACCCCAAACTGAGCCCACACGTGTGGCACCGGGGCAGGTCCGTGACCTCGGGGTGTCAGGGAAGGCAGCTCCTGCCTCGGGCACAGCACAACACTCCAGACACAGACCCAGAGCAACTCCCAACACCTCACAGAGCCCTGGGGGGACACGGCAGGTCCCAGCACTCTGCCCAGAGGAGGGGACACTGCCAGGCACTTGCAACGCTGACCTCTCAGGCACGGGGGACCCCAGCCCAGGCCTTCCTGGCTGGACCCCAGGGAAGGTCCCAGGTCCTTCCCTGGAAACATCCCAGTGCCACTTTTAGGAAACACCTCGATGAGTGACAGCAGAGAAAGGAAACCCATCAAAGGGAGGCTGGCAGAGGAGCAGCTCAGGGGAGGTGCTGGAGGTGGCCAAGGGCCATCTCTGTCCCAGGAGGAGGCAGCTGGTCCAGCTGTGGGACAGGGGGTGGGGCAGTGCTTGCAAAACAGCCTTTGCTCTTTGGTATCCGAGAGCAAGGTTGCAGCAGGAGCAGCCAAACTGTGCATCCCAGGCAGTGACACTGACACTGCACACCCTGGGCAGTGACCCTGCACACCCTGAGCAGTGACACTGCACACCCTGAGCAGTGACACTGACCCTGCACACCCTGAGCAGTGACACTGCACACCCTGGGCAGTGACCCTGCACACCCTGAGCAGTGACACTGCACACCCTGGGCAGTGACCCTGCACACCTTGAACAGTGACCCTGCACACCCTGGGCAGTGACTCTCACAGTGCACATCCCTGAGCAGTGACCCTGACACTGCACACCCTGAGCAGTGACTCCCAGGCTGCACACTCAGCACTCACCAGGGAGCTCTTCCCTTTCAGAGTGGCCTGGGAGTGGCTGTTCCCAAGATCAGCAGTGACCAGGGCTGGGCTGCCAGTCCCAGACCCTCGTGCCGGGGTCCATGGTCTAGCCAAGGACAGTGCAGGACCAGCAGGACAGCCAGGTGAAGGGACAACATGTGACAGCAGGAAACTGGCCAAAGCATGGCTGGTCACGGCGACCCGGCGAGGTTAAAGTGCAGGACAGGGGACACGTGGCCCTTCTGCTCCAGGGAATCCTGCTGGTCCTGGCCTGGCTGAGCTCTGACAGACTCAAGCTCTGTCACTGTGGGGGTGCATCCAGCTCCAGCCTCTCCCACAGAGCTCAGCAGCCCAAGGTTCCTTCCCAGGAAGGGAAGGGCAGTGCAGGCAGTTTTGGGTCTCTCAGTACACTGGCTCAGCCCTACCCGAGGACAGCTGAGCTCAGCAGCTCCCAGCTCTGCTGGGACAGCATTCCCTTGCCCTTCATCCCAGCCCTCCAGCACAGGCTGGGGTGGCCCAAACTGGGGGCCTGGGCTCCCACCCTTCCCTAATGGACCAGCACCACTCACCGGGCGGCTCCGGAGCCCGGCTGTGGCCCCACAGAGCTGGGCTGGGCTGGAGGGCTGGGCAAGGCCTGGCCTGGCTCGGACACTCAGTAGTCTGTGAGGGGTGGGCAGAGGAGGGGGGTCTCCCCTCAGTCCCACACAGTCCTGTGAGCAGGACTGGACACAGCAGAGCCCCCCGGCCCAGCAGAACCCACTCGGTTTCCCCCAGGCACGTTCCACCCAAACCTGTTTCCTCCCTCAAAACCACAAAAGGGTCAGTCCAAACGGGCAGGACATTCAGGGCTCCTCAGCTCTCACCTCTGCCCCAGAGGACGCAGATCCACAGCGGCCGAGCTCCGCTGGCATTCCCGGCTGGCACTCAGAAATCCAGGTGCGGCCCGCTGAACTGGATCACGCTCTGGCGCTCCTGGGGGAGCAGGTTCTCCTGGGGGAACGTCCTCAGCATGTCCTCCAGGATCTCTCTAAAATTGATACTCCCATCTTGCTGGAGAAAATCCTCCTGTGGCTGCTGCAGGGGCGGCGGGGGGGGCGGCGCTGGGGGCTCGTGCCGTGAGGGGCCGGGGGCCACACCACCCTCCAGGCCAAAGCAAAAGGGCAACTGGTGCTGCTGGTGGGGTTGCAGGGGGGGCTCCGAGGGGAAGCACAGTGCTCCGGGCTCCGAGTTCATCACCACGTCGGGAATGCTGCTGCTGGGAGGGCTGCAGGTCAAGTCCAGGATCTCGTCCTGGCACAGGGAGGGCAAGGACAGCGGTAGCCTGGGCCCTGGCAGGAGGTGCAGGGGCAGGGAGAAGGGTGGGCCCTGCTCCCGGGCCTGGAGCAGCCGGCTGTGCTTCCGCTTCACGTCCTGGTCCATCTGCTTCAGCTCCTCCCGCACCCTGTGGACGCAGCTCTCGGGGATCTTTATCCCTGGGGGAGGAGCAGACATCAGTCCCCACAGCAGGGAAGGGATGGGGCGCTCTGGGGACAGAGGGAAGGGCAGCAGCACTGGGGGTGTTCACATGGGCACTGAGGGGACAGGCCTGGCTCACACCCTCTGCCCGGACACATCGGGGTAACCCCAGCTCCCCTCCTTCCCGCGGGGTCACCTCAGCAGCGGGCGCTTCCAGGCCGGAACACGTCCCTTTTTAGGAAGGGAATCTTGGTGCTGGGCACCTGGACCCCTTCATCCCACTCCCCCTCCCCTCCCCAGCACTTCACCCACCAACTTGCTTCTTCTTCTCCTTGGTTTTGAGGCGGACGATCTGCAGGTAGCTGCTGGCGGTGATGTCGGCCATGATGCCGGCGATCCTGCTCCACACCCGCAGCAGGGCCCCGCACAGCATGTAGTAGTGCCGCAGGCGCATGCCCTGGAAGCACTCCTTCCCCTCCTGGATCAGCTTGCAGCTCTTGTTCCTTCGGTTACCATGGGAGAAAACCACCAGGATTAGCACAGGAGCACAGCGGCTTCCCCCCCTCGGCCTCCCCCAGTGCCACAGCCAGGGACCCCCCAGCACAGGCCCTGCCTGGGGAGGGAGGACGTGACTCGACGACTTTAAGCTAAAAGAGGGGAGATTTAGATGGGATATTGGGAAGAAACTCCTCCCTGTGAGGGTGGTGAGGCCCTGGCCCAGGTTTCCCAGAGAAGCTGTGGCTGCCCCATCCCTGGCAGTGCTCAAGGCCAGGTTGGAGAGGACTTGGAGCAACCTGGGGTAGTGGAAGGTGTCCCTGCCATGGAACTGAATGGGCTTTATTTAAGGTGCCTTCCAACCCAAACCACGCTGGGATTCTGTGGCAGGCTAGGGCTGCAGCTGCCTTACCACAGGGCGTGGTTACAGTTCTTCAAGGAGAAGTGGTAGCTGCTCTCCCAGTGCTCCTTGGCTTCCTCGGGCATCACCTGCAGCACAACACTCAGCATTAGGGATCTTCCACTGCCCAACACCCAGCGAAATCCAGGGCTGGGAGTCAGGACACACCAGTGCTCCCACCATCCCTGCCCAACCACAACAGCACCCTGAGGAGCTGTGATGGGTTAGAGGGAATGTCCTTCCAACCTCCCCCAGCCCACAGCCCCCACAGCAGAGGCGGCAGCTCCCACCTACCCGCCGGTACTTCTTCTGCAGACTGTCCAGGCTCTCAGGCTGGCTTTGCTTCCCAATATTTGGCTTGTAGAGGATGAAGTTCTTCCCACGGCTCTGCTCTGCCAGCAGACAGGTGTATTTGCTACCTCGCATCTGTGGGGTACAGCTGATGGTTACAGTCACAGCCTCTCTCCCCAAGCCCAGGTTTCTCTAAAGTAACCCCTTCCTTCCAGGATGGAGGTTCTTGGAGGCATCTTCCAGCCCTCAGGAAGAGGTCAGACATGGAGCCCGTAGAGCCATGGCAGATCTCCCACTGGAGCCACCCCTGAGCTGAGGTGCCACCCTGGCAGAGCCCAGGGACATACCTTGTAGGAGAGGTAGAACCCTTCGTTGGCTCCTGTCAGTTTGAGCGACTTCTCATAAGCTTCTTCCCACTTTAAGCCTCTGTCGACGCTGATCTGAACAGGGACACACAGAGGGATTTGTAACTCCAGGGACAGGACAAGTGCATCACAAATCCCACCCTCAGCACAACCTTGGTGCTGCTGCAGCCTAGAGCCAGGTAGAGACAGGTGCCCACCTTGTAGAACACGACCTGCCCGTCCTGCGGGTGCCCCGGGGTCAGGAAGACCTCCTTGCTCTCCTCATAGATCTCATCCACTCCTGGTGCTAAATCTGAGGAAGGAGAAAAGGCTGCTCTAAGGAAAACCCACCCAAACCACCTCCTTGGGTCTCAGCATCTGTGCTGGGTGGGGAGGCTGCAGTGGGGAACCACCCTCAGTCAGCACAGGAGGAACAGGGAACCCTGGGGTGCAGGAGGCAGAGCTGTGGCCACCCCCTCTCCATACCAAGGATGCCCATGTCGTATTTGCCCTCCTTCTTGTCCTTCTCAATCAGATAGTCAAAGGTGTCAGAAAAATACTGGAAGAGCATGTTCTGCTTGTCCACCTCCAGGCCCAGGATGCGGTTCAGGAATTTGGTGATGGAGCAGTCTGCAAGAGCACAGCGGGTCAGGGAACATGGTGCAGCTGGGCACAGAATCCACCAGCCCCCCCAAAAGAGCCCCTCAACCAGCCCCACAATGTCCCTTCCAACAGCAGCACAGCTCAAGGGCTGTTCCTGTGGGCTGGGAGCAGCTTCAGGGCCATGGGATGTGTGGGGCCATGGGATCTGCAGCACAGGCTGCTCCCACAGGACCTTCCCTTCAAGACAAACATCCTGCCCAGCTGCCCAGCAAACCCCACAAGGCTGGGTGGGCCATGACACCCCTGCCCCTTCCGTCTGCCCCCTGCTTTGGGCAGGAACAGCTCGACACATACCCTTCTCCACCGAGACAGTGCCATACTTCATCTGACTGCAGCAGATCCCCACAGAGATGAGCCCTTGCTTCATTTCTGAAATGGCAGAAGACACTTGGTGTGTTTTGGGGTTAAGCCTCCCCTCAGCAGTCTGTCCTAGTTAGGACAGCTGAGATCAGTTCATCATGGTATGGGTGTAACCCAAAACTGTGTATTCTATAGCCTTCCATGCCATTTCCCAGAAACTGTTGTCAATAGACTATTACCCTCAACTGAACTGCAATCACCACTTTTGACCAGACTGCAAC